CTGGCAGTGCTCAAGGCCAGGTTGGATGGAGCTCTGAGCACCCTGGGCTGGTGGAAGATGTCCCTGCTCATGGCAGGGGGGCTGGAACCAGGTGAGCTTTAAGGTTCCTTCCAACCCAAACCATTCTATGATTCTATGACATATATATATGTGTGTGTGTATATATATATAGAGAGTCTATCATCTAACACACAGAAACCAATTCTTTTATATACAAAAATATATATTTATGCATAGACATTCTCAGACATCCTTACAGGGAGGTGCTGAGGGTAGTGTGAAGTGCAATAATAATTAAAAAAAAAAAAAAAAAATTCACTATGCAATATAGACTGTAATAAACCCTGTGCCATCCAGTAGAGCACACATAACTGTATTATGTAAAGGTTGTATAGCATATAGCTTATATATAAAACACACATATTCTTTTTTTTTTTCTTTTTGCTTCTGTGTGTGTGCGTGCGTGCGTGCGTGTGTGTGTGACTGTAGGCTGCTGTATTTATATATTCTCTATACATAAATTATAGGACACATAGAGCTAAAACATAATCCATACTGTACCTTTATTGTACCTATAACCTGTAGACACAAACCCACACCCAATGCCCAGCCGCCTGTTTTTACAGCTGTATAAATCACTGTTCTCACCCGAGTCGCAGCCACACATTTTTCTGTATAAGCAGTGACACAGTGACACAAATCACATTTACTGTGTCCGGGGGGTCCCCTTGGCTCCCCCCCTCGCTAAACCCAGCGCCCAAACTGGAGGGGCTGGGCGCTACGAGATGCTGAGGCTGAGGCAAAGCTTCAAAACCCCCCCATTTTCCCAGATTCGCAGCTTTTCTCCTCCTTTCTGGCACCTGCCCAGGAGGCTGTCGGCTTCCCCAGCCCGGCTGCTTCACCACCCTGCCCACGAGTAGGACGCTCTGGCTGAAACCACGGGGCTTGGTTGGTTGGTGGTCACCTCGCGCTTCGCTGCGCAAAGATTTGTCACCTTCGTGCTGTGTCT